ATTAAATGTTACTAATGGAACTAGTAAGCATTTAAAAAAACTATTTTACTGAAGAACCTCATTTAATTTATTCCTACTTGCCTAATGCAAGTCCTTTTAATGAACTGAATGCAGCACGAGTTTTACCCTGACACCACTGTCGTGCGCTGGTCCAAGTGTAGCAGATAAACTACTTATATATGATAGATAGATTGACTGATCCTTCTGCTTTCTTTATCTAAATAGATAGCGTATGACGTGTCGCTGGTGGTACTTGAAGCAGACACCTCTGCTTCTTCCAGTTTTTTTTCAAACACACGCTGGAGTGTAAAAAAAAATTATATAATTTTTTTTAAACGCGGTAGAGTGTAAAAAAATTATATAATGTTTTTTTACACTCCACCGTGTATACATGTATATATGCGCCATCAGAAGCAAAGCAAGCATGCAACAGAAGGCCAACAAGGTACCGTGTTCTTTGCAGTCCAGCTGCCAGGGCTAGCGCGCTTTCTGGTAGTCACAATGTGTTAGTTATGCGCTGCTACCGCCAGGACTCTGATTCATACCCTGGCTTACCCTTTCTCTCTTTCTGTCGTGTGGCCTTCCTGGCGTTAGTGTTTTTGGCTCGCAAGTGACATCGCGTCGTCTGGTAAAGACTCCATTGTTCTTTTCCCAACAGCCTATTGCATACAGACGAACGTACTGTGCTACATACATAGAATACGCAAGACTGGCTAAGACATCTTGTTCTCTCACTCATACAACAAGATGATCAATGCGTATAGAACTCAATAGCGTGTTAGGAGATTCGCTGACCTCTCTGTTTAGAGACAGAATAGGTCCGCTTGATTTACGTACGTATAATGTCGTTTTAACTTCTTATAATGGTACCGTACTTTTGTTAAGAGACAAAAAGAGGAGCTCAACCCATAATATTTTTTACAGGCAGCAGTCATACGTACAATTCTAAATAAAATCACAGTTCTGTGGTCCTGTGTTTATATACACAGTTATGTGTACCCTGTCAGGCGTTAACATCAGGTAACACTGATATTCTGACACCCCCTGACGATGCTCTACAAATACTGTCTTCATCTCAAATCTTCCCTTAGTTAAGCCATATGTGTGTCCTAGTAGTGTCGATGGAAGAGTACATGCTGCAGTCAGTTACACTTGGCCACTTATGTCACCTATGATTGAGCCTGTCGGAGTGAATAGTAGGCACAACAAGTGTTGTATTGGCATGTTAGGGCAAAGGTAAAACTAAGAGGCTGACGTGGGAAGCGATACCAGCGGGTAGAACCGGACGATTAAGGGGCACAAAGGAGAACACCAGAGGGGCACACAACAGTTATACAGTAGCCTGTAGCAAGGCCTGCCATCGTAGCACTTGGGACGATACCTGAGAGCAGCTGCCTCTTAGCCGGTGGGTTGTCTGTTTCTGAGGATCCTGCCTCTGAGTAGGCCGAAGTGTCTTTGTGCCGGGATGATCGGACCTCGTCGCCAGGCCTCGAGTCCTCTAGCTGCGCCAGTATCTGCGATAGCGATGGCTGCTCTGGACCGCCTGGCCACTCGCTGTTAGGAGTCTCCAAGGGCATGTCTTCGGCGCGCGAATGCACCATCCCTGCTATAATCACAACGAAGTAAACAAGAAACAAACAAAACTCACATGTAGAAACTGCGTTGTTGTCGTCAGTTCTGCGTATATTTGCGTATTAACCGAAAAATTTAAGCGTGATGTTTATGGCAATATTGATGTAACTTTTTAGGACTTTATCAGGATGTAAGTGCGTACCAATCGTTGAGCGCGACATGAGCAAGCAACTAAAAAATGCGAACGGTGCATTGTGATACAAAAAAGCTAGCAAAATTTTTTACAATGGACAATTGGATACAACTTTATTATGCTCGTTCTGGTAACGTCTGCAGCTTTGTCTGCTTGAGTTGGCGTCTTGGTTTTTGGCCTCTCACTGGCAAGACATATGCTAGAACGTTTCAATTCGAAAAGTTGCAGTTTACAGTTACGCACAATTGCTTGAGGTAAACGGCTATCTATGTATTAGATTAGGAGATAAGTTGTGACGGGAATCGAAGTATATCATTTTTGACCTACTATACATTACATGATTCCCGCTGTTGATCAGAATTAGTTGCAATTTCCAAAACAGCATGTTTGAAAATTAATTTAGTCCATGCCTAATTGTTGCTTCGAAACATTGACCGTAGACGCGATGTTGGATTTCGGTGTCGTACACCACAGCTGATTAAGTAACTCACAAACAATACCGTTGTTATCTAATAAAACATTATATTATACATATTACAGAAGCACACACCTGTAGACATTAACGAATGGCTAGATTACGCTAGAACGTCTGTACGACTATCCAATTAAATACGAACGGATACTACACTGAGTCCAACCATAGTCTTCCATATTCGATCGTCATATCCGGCCATGACTGTTCTTTTCGCTCTGACCGTAACCTGTACCGTCTAAACCATTGTTACTGACAACGATGGCCTGTAGCATAAAGCGTTTTGCTATGTGGCGCTGTTGTTTGAGATTCGAGTGAGGAAGCTTGTTCCGTTGCCTGTTATAATGTATTTGCTGTTTACTGAACTGATCCCGCGGTTCCTAATAAGGTTACCCGTTCATGTTAGGCCAGCTGATACAGTTAGGTATGTCCTAAGGGATCCTAACAACAACAACAACAACCTGATCAACATTATTATATACAATAATAGCATTCTTATACGCATATTGTGAATGTGACAATTTATTTATCTGTTTCAAGAGGTTTTTGTTACCGGACCATGGCAACGTGGTCAACCGGCAATAACGTTTCCTCCCGCCTACTTTTGCCAGCCGATCACCCCACGTTCCAGGCGTTTTATCGTTACCTTGAATATATCTATCTATGTACCTGCGGTTTCCCGCAAAGACTGTTCAGGTAGAATTCAGTAACATCGATCAAATACATGCGAGAGCGATTTTGGCATCGTATTGAAAGGCCGGCGTCGGCGTTATTAGCAGGTGCATCGAATCTATTAAATTCACAACAGCAATTGTTACTCTTGCAGTATTCTATGACTATTACGGTCTATCGTAATCAACTGGTGTGGTCCGGATCGCGATCAGAGGAAGTGCTTAATGGACTCGGTGCGCCTTACTTCACCTACCACTCTGAGATCATTGACTGGCCAAGGTTGCTGAAGTAATCAATGTTGGGCCTCCTGGGGAGTTGGGGAACAGAACGGAGAGGTAGAGCGGGGAAAGGAGAGGGCACAAAATGGAGATGACGAGAAGCTTAAGTAGGTGAAGTCATGCGGTGCCGCTCTGCCCCCACCGAACCCCAGTGAATAATATCATCACGACCAGCTCGTCGCACGTGTTTATAGCATCACCGCAGCAGGATCCATGCGATTCAGGCAAACAAGTAAATGTAGAAGAATCACTATCGTAGAACACGTTTGTAAATGTGCATAAAGTGACAATGTATCACAGATCAATCGCAATGTTTTCACTAGCACTGCTGCTACTTATAGGATAACGATTTACAACGACAATCCCACTCTGTGTAGGCAAGAATGCAAAAAAGTCAAGGGGCAATTCTTTAAACCAGGCAATGTAATAGACCGAGTATTGCTCTGGCCCATTTTTCTGTCCGCGCAAAGCACACAGATAGCTTTTAGTTTATGCTGTATTCTAGAAAGATCGGTGTGTTGTATCGACCGGGTAATGATCGACACAAGCACACCACCATGCTGATTAATTTATTATTTTTTATATTGTTCAAATAATATTACTACTTGCTAACAGCAAAAAGGCTAACTTTCGTGAGCTTTCTATCAATAGTGCCCGTATCTCAGTAGTAGTAGTAGTAGAAGTAGTAGTATTCTTTCCATTGGGTAGAAAAACTTGCAAGGAGTCTACGTTTTGCAAACGTTTCAGTTACTATTTGTGTATTTACATCCGCGACTAATTAAAGAGGGTCTTTATTATCGTCACGATACCATTGAGGCAATGACAGTAGGTGGCTCGAAAGACCGGTTGGATAAGAAGAACTCAGCTGTTCGAGCAGTAAGTTGTGTTCACAAGATGAAGGGCTAACTTAGAAGATGTGGTCGATTGAAATCGAAATATAATTTTTAGTATTACGGTGCTTGCAATCCGAACTACATTTTTTCTTTAACTCTATTAAAGTAGAAAACGATCCGCATTACAACTCCGTTTGCCGAAGTACGCCATAGCTATCTGTGGATCATACAAGCACCGTGAAGCGTGTGCGCAGAAACCGAGGGTACGGGTATATTCATTGAAGATGTGATCAATTTTATCTTCTTTATGTCTTCTACGGCTTCTTCTGCTCAGCGGTCGCAATCATGATAATAAACCGTAAATAGCCTCATTCACCACGGGGGATTCTAACTCGATGTTGATAGGTTCAGTCGAGAGTTAACATGAAAAGGCTGCAAGAGTGATGGCACTCTTGCCCCCTACTTTCCTGCTACGGGTCGTCCGTTCGACGACATCCGTCAGTTTTGTGTGTCTTTCTACGGTGTGAGTGTGTCCAGCTATGTTGCGGCTCCATGCATGTAGCCTGCTGCCGCTAAACAGCGAAGCCGCTCTATAGTCACTTCCCCGTAATGTAAAGGCGGAGTCTGCGAGGTTCTGGGATTACCCCGCTTAGAAAGGTCGACCAAGCAAGCCGGGGGAGACGATCGTAAAACCACTCGTTTGGAACTCTCTTGATAGTAGCTAAGAGCCAAGTTAGGACAAGCAGGGGACTATTTTCTGTCTTGCCGTTTTCTGGGTTATCGCATCCTTCAATAGACAAAACACAGATATTCTCTCTCTCTCTCTCTCTCTCTCTCTCACACACACACACACACACACACAAACATACTCTTGTCCAACCAAACTCCCTGGCATCATCCTAGGGACAAACCAGAGCCCAATCTTCGTTGTCGTGGCACGGGTTCCAACTGCCCTGTCTGACCCAATTCCCGCTTTAGCCGAATCAGCTCTCACCATGGTATGCCGCCGTTTTATCGTTGCATGTTTATAGAAAAAAGAATGAGTATTTGGCCTTTTTCAACGAAGAAGTGTAGACAAACTCAAACACAATCGGATCGCGAAGTCCCGTTGGTAAAAGTCCGGCTCTGGTGATGTTCTTGCCAGCCATTGCACTCTACGAATACTTCACAAGAGACCTGCTGTGTGTAAAGCATGGCGTTCGTCAGCATCAATAACAATGCTTATTCCGTAGACATCACGTGACAGAGATGACATACTGTATATGACAACATTCGCTCGTGGGTGCTACTCTATCGATAGGGATGGACTTACAAAAGGCAAATGACTCATTGTAAGTGATTTTGTGCACCTCGTAATTACTAAGCCCCATTTAAATAGAGCTTTATGTGCCTGATGTGACAAATAGCTTGACAGACGAGGCATAACAACATTATCGTTATGATAGAGGTATACCAGAGGATACAGACTCTTTGAAACGGTGAATGAGCTTCGTGAAGAGGTACTTCTATGTTGTAAACTTCACGCTCGAATAGAACCAGGCCTAACCAACAACAACAACAACTTACTGTGCATCTCTCACAAAACCGTTCCGACACGGTACTACTATAGCAATCGGTAACTTGTAGTTCTCTTTACATTCAACATTTGAATCATTCAAGTGTGTCTAAAAAGATGATGAATGAACTCATAAGCTATCTTATATATATATAAGCTATTTTGGCATTCACATATTTTCGAGAATGACTGGTTTAGTTCATTCTCGTAGTTATGTCATCTGATCTTATTTGTGTGCTTGCGGTTTTGAACGGCAATCTATAGCGTAAATGTTTCGATAAAATATATCATGTATATATATATATATGTATATACATATGGTAAGCTTGTTCGAGCTTAGCTGCGGACGCTATTAAATTATATTTAACTTCAGCAACATTTAAAGCGGGCATTTGTTGTATTTGAAGCTCGCGTGTTTTACCTCCGATACCCGAGCCATCAGACATTAGCCTGGCTCTTGGCACGAAACGAAGTGTGCCTACGCCTCAGTTCGATCCAGACGGCCAATTTTACCCAAAGTACACCGAACAAGCCCATTACCTATTTAAATGTAATTTGAATTTTTGTGTGAATCGTAAAACTTATGATAATAATGTTATTATAAAACTTCCGAATATACATATTTGAGATAGCCGTTCTGCTGTTACTGTTACAATGGTTAATTTGTCAGGTTAGGTAAGTTCACCAGAGGAGACCACAAGCAAACGAGCTGGTTAGCAAGTTTTAATTTTCTCAAGAGGCTCTGTTTTATATATGTACCTATATATAAAATCAGGGTAAGGTCGATTTTCTTTTGCGACGTTCCAGCAGCAGCTGCTGTAGCAATCACAGCAGTATCGGGGGCAGACGCAACTGTAGGTGAGGTAACGCGTAGTAACTTCTTCGTAAGCAAGCATACCGTAACAACGGCTTTAGCAACGTACAGGATAGTTACCAAAGCAAAAGTAACTTCTATGTGTTCGCATTGCATAATCTGGGTCTCGTGGCAGCATGCTGGTGCATATCGTAAGCGAGATTTTGCTTGCCACGCA